AGCGAGCTTGGCCTCCCACGTTTTGAGAAGGTGTTCGTTTTTTTACCAGCGTTGCAGGTGTTCGGCGCAGGCGATAGATCTGTATTTGTATTGCATGGTCACACGAGGATCAGGTGGGCCAACGTGTCAGGTACGGTGCAAATCGGGCAAACATATTCATGTAATGTAGGGTGCAATCGGTGCATTAGTATGCTGTGTGTGTATGTGTTGCTCTGCAGTCTTCTCAGTATGGTGCTGTCCTCTTTGTTCGGCTTCCAGTGTAGTGGTGCGTACTCTCTACGTTCCAGCCTATGGTGTTGCAGTATTGTAAAGTAATTGTCAGGTACACACTCGGCCTCAGCGGACACAGTCCTGGCGTCAAAGCGGGAAGGGGTAGCCCGATAGGCGTGATCGCGGGCCGCGGCATGAGCTGCCTCGTTTCCCTCCAGCCCTTCATGCCCAGGAACCCATGTCACACAGGTGAACGGCATCGGAGTGCTTCGGCGCTTTAGTATCTGCATTGCTTGGGTAGACACACGACCTTTGCTGTAGTTTCGCATGGCTGCTTGAGAGTCTAGGAATATCACAGCTGCATCCAAGCACGTTGTGGTAGCTAGGGCAATTGCCACCTCCTCTGCAGTTTCTGGGCTTCAAGTGCGTACTGTGGCAGATGCGAGCTGGACGCCCCGAGTATCAATGACGCTCAAAGCGTAGGCGTCTCTACCAAGATATTTGGCTGTGATTTCGTCGTAGAGCATTCACTCGTGCCTGCCTTCTTTCCTTGTAATTCCTCTGTGTGTGCCTTTTTTCCTTTTCACTTTCTTGTGGAGAACAAGAAAATCGAAGGAAAACAAGAATGCTGCTCAGCTCAGCACTTCCTTTGGGCTGCTCGGAAATCTAAGTCACCTGATGCAGCATTCTAAGTACCATGTCCAGACTGCCCTTGGTCCGCACCCATGGACTTCTCAGAGGTGTGGGCCTAGCAGCACTGTGATAGCTTTTCAAGTCTTTGTGTTGCAAGGATCGAAAAATATCTCGATGCAACAAACTTGCTTACTTCACAAAACAATTTAAGTGCATCAGCAACTGTATTTGGCTTGCATGTTCACAGGAGCCTTGACATTTAAAACGGTAGCACTCAATGGGTAGCTTAAAAAGCGTTTCAGTCCCTTTTTATGTGACTATTCGAGATCAAGACTTGTGGTGTATTCGTGGCAAATATCCCGATATCTGAAGTTCTAGGATGGCAAAGATGTCTTGGTATGCCAAAAATATTGTAGTCCTTTCATTGACCAGTCATTTGGTGTTGACTTGAAAATAGTCCACGGGATTGGGATTGCTGCTTATCTCACCAATCGCAAGCAGTATGTTTCTCTTAATAATGCCGAGTTCAACTGTGCGGATCAGCACACTCCTTGTTTACATCAATGGCACCTACGCAGCTATGGAACCGGGCATTACAATGAGGCTCTTGGCAGATGAATGCAGTCATATACTCTTCTGCTAGCACAGAGGAAGACCAGGTGACACTTGGCAAATCTTTAGAGAATATTCAAAAATGGTGTGAAAGGCACTGTGTGCAAATTAATACAAATAAACCATGTGCATTACAATTGCCCATGGAAAGAGACTGCTTCACTTTAAGTACACCTTCTATGGGGCAGACATCAAGCACGTAAGTATCGTAAAGTAGCTGGGGGTTACAATAAGTCTTTAAAGTGGCAGTCCACCGTGAAGTGCGCTTTTTCATGGCGGTAGTCTTGATGGCCTTGTCACCTTTTGGTGTCACACTCCTCTCATTGGGATGTCAAACGTAAGTGGCACCTCATCCATATTTATTATATGGCTGTCACCTATGCCATCGTCTTCAAGGCTTTCTTCGCAAAAACCTTTCAAGCTTGTCCTTGAAATCTGCTGGCAAATTCTGGCACTGCTTGCATGGGCCCTCATCGCCCATGCCTTCGTGACTAGCCGGATCCTCTATGCCGTCCCATACCTTCGCACTAACAAGCAAGAAGGCGAAAGAATAGATGCCATCATTCGTAAGGCTACTAAACGAGCTCTGGATCTCCCGGTGGCCACTTCCAACGCCAAACTGAGGGCGTTAGGTGTGCTCAACTCCTACCAGGAGTTGCGGGAGGCCCACCTTATGAATCAGAATACGCGGCTCGTGCAGACGGCTCCCGGGCGCCGCCTGCTGAACCGCTTACATATACAGCACACTTGCACTGCAGAGGAGGCGAAGCGTATTCCAGAACTGTGGCGGCATATGCTCTCGGTCTCTCCACTCCCCAGTAACATGGATAAGCACACGCACGAAAGCAGAAGACAGGCGCGGGCTCGGACGCTTGGGAGGCAACACGGCTCCCGACCTGGTGTATTCTACGTAGATATAGCAGGGCCTTCCTTCGCCCACGGGATTTTACACGGCCTGTGTAGTTCACCGGAAAAAGAATGTCAATGGGCTCTTGTTCCGAGCACAAAATCCAGAGCGCGCTGAGGAAGTCGCGATAGCGCTTGCTGCTGCGGGTTCCCAACTCGAAAGTTATCATCACGGACTCCCGGAAAGCATGTGCTCATTACTTGGTAGGAGAGATATCCCCCCTAGCCAGCCAAATTCTAAAACGGGCTCTCGCTGATCAAGCCCCGAATCGCATTGTATGGGCTTCTGGCCATCAGGGCTTACGAGGTAATGAGGCCGCTGACGCGGCCGCCCGAGCGCTTACCCACCGGGCTCCTCACCTTGGCTCTTATGACTCGGAGGCCAATACACCGCTGCTGCGGTTCAAAGAAAGTCTGAGCTATTATCGCGACACTCACCGCCTTTACCCGGCACCTGCAAAGAAGCTGAGTAAGGCGGAAGAGCGAACTCTAAGGCGCCTGCAGACAGGTACTCTACTCTGTCCTGCAATCCTAAACCTTTTCGATGCGAACACAGATGGGCGGTGCCCACACTGTGGGGAGACGTGTGATATTTTCCACATGATATGGGCATGTCCGAAAAATCCCCACCTACCCCCTTCCCCTACCCCTTCCCGAGAGGCATGGGAGACTGCCCTTCTCAACTGCTCATCACTAGAGTCTCAACGGGCTCTGGTGAGACGGGCGCGAGTAGGGGCCTCGTCATGGGGTGTCCCGGATTAAGGATGCCGACCATGTAGCGGGGTCATGCTTTGGCCCCGTACCTCTCTCTTTTATAATAAATGTTTTTCATCATCATCATCGCTAGTGCTTTCTAGTGCATAAGTCGGGAGCACCGCGACGGCCCACCAAAAAAATCGACGCCCACCTCTTAAGCTAGCACCTGTGCACTTTGAGACGCAGCTGCACTGCTGATATTGCCCTACCTTGAGCATGCCTCTCTAGTATCACATCTGTGCAGACGTCCCTCAAGGACTAACCATTGTGACTTCTTGCCGCGGTCAGGTTTTTTAGTTAGCTACAAATGAAACCACAAAACGTCGAAAGCGGGGGAAAAGCAGAGCGGTAGAAAGAGAGGGCAGAGGCGTGGCTCTAACAACTGACGTTTATTACGAAAAAACCCTTCCTCCGAAATACAAGCGATGCATGCACAGATAAGAAAAAAACAAACAAAACCAGCTAATCTAAGCAGATCACCTCGGTGCTAGAAACAAACATTCTTTCCTGGCGAGACAAAGCGAAGTTGCACTAACACATTTGTCCGGACCGAGTTTCCAGATATGAAATGCCTCAATGATTTCCCGTTCTCGCTGCGTCTTAGCTTTACCTAAAATTGTAACCTTATCGAACAACGGCTTACACCCACACAACTTGTAAGGCAACGGCAAGTTACCACCATGCCCGAGAGTAGAAGATTTTCATGCTCCCTCGACCGAGCATTGTCACATCGACCAGATTGTCCAACGTAAAACTTGTCAAAACTTAAAGGGATGCAATACACCACATTTGTTACACTCGCAGTACTTGACATGTTTTATGTCGCAAATACTCATTTTTGTGCCAGTTTTACATCAACCCTGGCCGCTACCTTTTTCAATCTGTGTAATACGCCATGTACATACAACATAACCACAAAGTTCTTCTTTCCTCGAACACCACCATCACTTTTTTGTTTTACTTTGAGGTGCTTAAACACATATTCAGCAACAGAGGTTATCAATGACTTCGGGGAGCCAGCGAACAAAAGTATATTTTGCTGCTCGACCATGCTGTCTTGCATTTTATGATTACAACACTTAGTAGCAGCATTCGACAAAGATTGGCAATACCTCTTTTGACCAGCTTGGAGTGGGAGGAATCATAAGGCGTAAGGTTCTTTTTAGTACTTGGACTCTACTTCCCGCACACGTGAACATGTAGATGAAACGAAAGTGTGAGGTCTAGAGACCTAATGAAATTTTCCTGGGGAACTTCATGTGTGAAATGAAATGGGAGCAGCGTGCTCGAAACACTGAAATGATGTGGCCAATGATATCTAGAATACAATCACTCGCGGGTTCGAATCCCGGCTGCGGCGACTGCATTTCCGATGGAGGCGGAAATGTAGGCCCGTGTGCTCAGATTTGGGTGCACGTTAAAGAACCCCAGGTGGTCGAAATTTCCGGAGCCCTTCACTACGGCGTCTCTCATAATCATATTGTGGTTTTGGGGCGTTAAACCCCACACATCAATCAATCAATTAGAATAAATCACTCCCCCAATACTAAGAAAAACAATAAAATCAACTTTTATCTAATCATCATTTTATCTTCCTTTTTCTATTTTGCAATATGAAGTCTTATTTGTTTTGTACGTCCTCTACTGTATAGGCCTGAAAAGGCCCACAGTATTGAATTAATAATAAATTAGATTATCTGCCGTAACTTGGATAACCCGCCACAGTGGTCTAGTGGTTGAACCAGAAGTGGCAGGATCAAATCCTGATGAATGCATCTTGGAGGTGCGCACTTTAGACCCTTGTACTTTTGAGCACTCTACTATGGCATACACCATAATCGAAACACTTCACAATTAAGATCTTGCGCCATGTCCTTGTGCAGGAGTGTATCCTGAGTGGCATGCTGTCGGTGAGTGGCAAGAAAGTGCTGCACATGGATCGCAACAAGTACTACGGGGGCGAGTCTGCCTCTATCACCCCACTGGAGGAGCTGTTCACCAAGTTCAACCTACCAGCGAGCCAGCTGGACGAGTATGGCCGCTCTCGCGACTGGAACGTGGACCTGGTGCCGAAGTTCCTGATGGCCAACGGCCAACTGGTCAAGCTGCTTATTCACACGGGTGTGACGCGTTACCTCGAGTTCAAGTCGGTCGAGGGCAGCTACGTCTATAAAGCGGGCAAGATCCACAAGGTGCCGGCCGACGAGAAGGAGGCCCTCGCGTCCAGCCTGATGGGCATGTTTGAGAAGCGCCGCTTCCGCAACTTCCTTGTGGCCGTGCAGGACTACGCTTTTGACGATCCCAAGACATGGAAAGACGTGGACCACCAGAGCACCACTGCATGCCAGCTGTACGACAAGTTTGGCCTAGACAAGGACACTGCCGATTTCACAGGACATGCGCTGGCCTTGTACCGGGATGACGAGTGAGCTAATATTATTACCCTTTTGTAGAGTGCCGCACTTGTCATATACATCGATAGGTTTTCTACGAACAGAGTGGTTACAGGCTTGCAGGTTGTTGTGGCACTTCCTACTTCACTGCAGCCTTCTCTAGCACATATTGAAACAAGTTAGGCTAGTTGTTTGACGTAACTTCTGCAATGGTTAAGCTGCAAGACAGCATACAATATTATAGAGCGCACGTGCACAGACTCTCGACTAAAATTTTATGGAGTGAAAGACGACATATAATACAGCAAGGATGAAAAGACAGCGTAAGCTCATTGACAAAGATGGTCACGTAAATGCTTCAAACAATCATCATCCACAATCTAGTGTCCAGATATTGCACTTCTCAACTCCTGAGCAGCACTGATGGATAGCTGACATAAAGATATGTTTTTTTAATCGCATTGGCCTCGTAGAGCTCTCGTGTATTGTGGTCCTTATCACGATACAAAGGCTGATGACATGCCTTCTTTGTCTCCTTGTCGCAGTTTCATATTGTTTAAAGCATTCATGTGACCAGCTGCACGTGACCATCTTCACCGCTACGTGCAACAAGTCTTATGCAACATTTGCAGCCACTGCAAATTCAATGCTAAGCAGAAGAAAGCCCAAATATCTCGCTTTCACAGGCAGGTAACGAGGGAATAATATTGTTAGCCAAAATGCAGATGGTCGCTCAGCCAGCCACTTGTTAAGTCGCAGTTTGCGAGTGCGCCAGTGTTGCCCAACTCTCAGCCCACTCCCATGTTTGTAAAAATATTCGATAATAAATGAAGTGCTCAACCAAATGCACTAAAACATCCCCATTTCATTTGTGAATGCTCAAGGAATAACTCATATAACACAAATCTCAATTGAAAATCTAGTGTCATGGCCCCTTTAAAATGTTTGATTGCAATTTTGGGCAAGTTCGTGTGTTTTTGGTGCTCTTGATGGCCAGATCAGGATGAAATTTTTCCCATATAATCCTTGACATGAGGAGTGCAAATATCTTCTTCAAATGCTGATATTGTTACGGGGTTGGTAGCTTCTGCACAAGATGCACTTATAGGGGAAAACCACAGGGAAGAGTCACAACGGCTGATTGGTAGACTCGTGCGCCTGTCGGCTACTTCTGCCCTTCGTCTTCCTTTACTTCATCGCCATAACAGGACCTTTGCGCCTGGAGAAGTGCGAAAGAAGTAGGGCTTCATGTGGGAAACATGGACAATGTCAACAGGTGATGAACTTGGTGACCTATCTGAGTGCAATGGCGCTATCTCGTAGTTCACGTCGCTAACTTGACATAAGACTAGGTAGGATCCTGCGAAAAACGAAGGTTTTTCGGAGAGACCTACACGGTGACCACAGGAGCACGCGGTCACCAGGGGCGAACTTTATATCATGATGCCGATGGTGGTAGTGGGCTCTTTGCACATCCTGTGACCTGGCGAGATGAGAATGGGCAACTTGACGAGCCATGTGAGCCCGATCAATGGCTTCGCGAGTGTACGTGGTAGCAGATGGCACGTGAGGCAAGGTGGTTTCAAATGGCAATATGGGTCGCGACCATACAAAAAACAAAAAGGTGAAAATCGCGTGCAGTCATGCAAGAGGATTTATAAGCGAAAGTCGCATAGGCCAACGTGGAAAGCGTTTCTGTGAGCATGCGGTTGAGACGCTCAGTTTGGTCATTAGTTTGTGGATGGTAGGCGGTAGCTAGCTTGTGCTCTGTGGCACATGTTTGGCACAACTCTGGACAAGAAAGAGCGACCTCGGGCCCGTAAGCAGCTGTCGGGGTGCACTGTGGTATAGGATGACGTCGTGAAGAAGAAAATCTGCGACGTCAGTGGCACAACTGGTTGGCATGGCCTTTGTTATCGCGTAACGGGTCGCATAATCTGTGGCGAAGGCGACCCATTTATTTCTCAGTGTCGAAAATGGCTAAGGTCAAGTCCCGACACCATGGAGTGGTCTTGAGGGGACCTCAATTGCGTGAAGATATCCAGCTGACAGCAACGAAGGTCTTTTCCGGCGTGACATATCGACGCACGCTGCAGTACGGTCCTGGCCAGAAGAACAGACGTCGCACGCGGTCGTTTGTGCGGGAAACGCCGAGGTGTCCTGCCGTTGGTGTGTCATATAGTTGTTCAAGTATGGCAGGTTGTAGATGACGAGGAACGGCAAGCAGAAGCTCAGGGCCTTCAGTGCTGACGTTGTGGCGGTAGAGGATGCCCTCATGCAGCACGAACATACGGAATTCGGCGTCACTGCTGTCAGACTGGATAGCGTCTATGATAGTGCATACCGACTCATCCCGACGTTATTCCGTGTGCATATCACTGATGTCGGTAAACGCCATTACGCAGCTGCCCGAATCAGGCGTAATGGGATCAGGAAGATTCACCGGATGACAAGAAATACAGTCTGCGTCCTTGTGCAAACAGTCAGACCTGTAACTGATGCTGAACGAACATTCCTGGAGCCTCAAAGCCCAGCGCCGAAGACGTCCACTCGGGTCCTTCAGAGAGGTGAGCCAGCAGAGGGCGTGATGGTCCATAACGACTAAGAACATGCGGCCATATAAATATGGCCGGAACTTCGGGACGGCCCAAACTAAAGCTAAACACTCTCTCTCGGTGATGGAATAATTCCTCTCGGGCGGAGAAAGCAGGCGACCGGTGTAAGCTATAACGCACTGCCTACTGCGGCGCCGCTGAGCGAGAACTACACCGATACCGTGGTCACTGGCTACGGTGGAAACCTCTGTGGCAGCAAATGGTTTTAAATGGGCAAGTATGGTCGGCGTAGTTAGGTAGGTGATAAGAGCGGTGAACGCTTCAGCCTGTTGAGGGGCTTATAAGAATGTGGTATCCTTTTTCAGTAGGTCTATGAGTGGCCTAGCAACGTCGGCGAAGTTTTCCACAAAACGACGAAAATAAGAGCATAAGCCGATGGAGCTCCGGACGTCACAGGCAGAGTGAGGCACCACAAATCGCATTGTGGCACTGGTGGATTTGCGCAGCCCACCTGACTTTAGATAATTCGTGATTCGTTCCATGTAAACACTGTTTTTACGCTCAGAGCGCATGCGGAGGACATTTTGAATCGAGTGCGAAGTGAGTCAGAACAGGTCCTAAACTTGAAACGAATCGCCAGTTATCAAAGTCGGTGGGGTATTGCAAGTGCGTCCACTGGAATGATACGACATTGATCTAGACAAGACGCAGATGCAGATCTGCAGACGATTGGGTACAGTTGATGGCCGACGACATTGGCAAATGGTCTGATCACTCCAGGCTAGTGACACCAATGATAGTGTTGCAAAACCAGTGATCAAAGGTCACACAAAGGTCACGGAATGTCATGCAAAGAGTGGCAAGTAGATCGAAACGTGCTCCGTGTTTCTCGCACACAAATGATGCACGAAACGTAATCACAGGTACAGATGAACGCAAATAACTTATAACAAACGGTACAGAACCTGCTAAACTTGCTTAGCCGCTAGATATCCAGCTGTGTCTCAAGAAGCTTTGTGGCTATGTATACTCATGCACATGTTGTCAAGTGCACTTTACGTCGGTGGCAGGGATGATTGCACAAAATCAATTTCACGGAAAAGGTGAAGCAATGAATGTGATAAGGACAAATTGCAATGTTGCAATGGACAAATTGCAAGTGAGGCTTGCAGCCAACTCATTCAGACCCGATCTTGCATAACACTACAAAACACTGGTGTAAGAGAAAGAACATGGCCGCTCCAGGTACACTCTTGGCACCGTTTTTTTGTGTTAAAAGCACAGCCCACAGAAGCCCCCATCGGCTGCGGGGGCACAAGGCGTGCCCTGACCACGAGAGAGGAAATACATGGAATCATATTTGATACAGAAATGTGTCTCTACACCGATCAAGAATCAATGTAGCACGTGTAAATTTGGAATCGCTGATAGCCATAACATAATTGCGGCAATATTCACAGGGGCAAGATACCTTCAGCCTTCAAAATGCACAACTGGTATTACATGAAATCACTCCTAACCTACATATCGTACTATACTAATATTCTCTTTCAATTTTAACCCATATATGCCTAAACTGAGAAAAATTAACAAAGCTAATTTATTTCCCCAGAATGATTGCTTTGAGGACCCCAGAAAACAGAATAAGACTTTTATTTTTAAGAAATCTGATTCGAACAATGGTTTTGGAGCTGTCCTATATGTAGGGCACCATTGTTTGACACACCGTGAGCAAAAAGCATTAGCGCCTATCACTGTCATACGAAAGTTGCTGCACACCCAACAACTGACAATCGACAAAAGTATCAGCAGCATCGAGAACACTTTGTCTCTTTATCACATATGTTTTGTCCGTGGTATGGTGCTCAGCTACACGCACGTGAAACAGCCATTTTGTGACTGCAAGCACGTGGCTATTTGTAGCCCAGCAATCACCTAGGCTTCACATATGTTTTTTCCGTGGTATGGTGCTCAGCTACACGCACATGAAACAGCCGTTTTGTGACTGCAAGCCTGTGGCTATTTGTAGCCCAGCGGTCATCTAGGCTTGCATGTGACGAGTACAGGGCATCATAAACACACCTTTGAAGGCGCTAGCTTTTTTTTACAAAAAAAAAAAAAGAAAAACGGAGTTACACTAAAAAGTTTCAGCGTCCTACATGTAGGACACAAGGCATACCGTATTTACTCGCGTAATCCTCGCACTCGCATATTTATCGCACCCCCGACATCGCCCGACAAAAATATTTCTTTTTTTCGTCGAGTAATTATCGCATCCCCAAAAATTGCAACAATAATGTTGTCTGCTCGTTCCAGCTGCTGATAATGATAGCGTGCGCCATCTGGCTCCATCTGCTAAGCATAGAACGTACTATTATTGCACCGAAACTCAATCCAATCTAAGCCAAAGTGGCAAGGGTGCGTTGCGGCGTGATTTGTATGTTGTGTCTGTACTCTTGTTAGGTTATGGGGTGATACTGTACTTTTGTTACGTTATGGGGTGATACAAAAGCTACACGGCTGCTTTCAAGTTGAAAGTGATTGATCATGCTCTAAACAACGGCAACAGGGCCGCCGGTAGGCCTTCAGACTAGACGAGTTTTGTGTTCACTACTGGTGACGGCAGCTGAAAGTCACCAAGACGTGTTGGGCCTTCCGTGTGCTTAAGACTGGGATTGATGGTTAACTTTATTTCTTCAGAAGGCAACTGACAGTTCTGTTAAACGGCCATCATCCCAATACTGACGTCCTTCTCCTGCTTTTTGCGGACTCCTGTTGAGCAGCGAACGCTACCACTTCTCTCGCAACACCCACAAGCTTTGCATATGGTATTCTTATTCTCAACTATTTGACTGCATCTTTTGTGTCTCAAATAAATCTTGCCTTGTATTGAACCTGTGCTTTTATTGTTCTGGCATAAGAATCACGAGTTGCGGCGTCTTTTTCGCTCTGTACGTTTCCGTGAAAAGTTTTCCCCGCATAATTCTCGCACCCGCATACTTTGCATCGGATTGCGAAAAAAAGTGCAAGGATTATGCGAGTAAATACGGTATATGGGTTAATTATAGATATGCTTGTGTCTATATACAACTACGAAGTTTTTATTTTCTGGAACCTTTCAACCACAGCTTTCTTTCCTCTTTCATCACTTCTAAAACACTCCTGCCGTGCATCGGTCATTGTCAACCCAGAAACTTCCCAGAGTCTCCTCCGTAATTCTTTTTTTTTTTTCTTCTTTTCTTTTCTCATCTGTTAGCCCTAATGTCCCATCTACCCCACCCTGTCTTTTTTTCCCCCTTTCTTCTTGTGTTTCTCTTGTCAATGCTCATTTCCTTTGCATTCTCAATTTCCCCTTTTCTCAGCCAACATGCTGCCAAATTATTGAGGCAATTCCGCTGAGCGGCCAACCTACGAGGATACGGAAAGCATATTATCGCCAAAGACCTTCCCCGTTAGACACGTGCTCTTCTGACCCCATCCGGTATCACTTACCTTCGATGTCTTGGCATTTAAAAGGACGTTGTCTGCTTCTCCCCCCTTTTTGTAACCGCTTTCTTGTAATGCGTCCCACTCATAGTTGTTCGGGAACAAGCATAAGCGGCTATCGTCGGCAACCCTTTGTGGTAGCCGGGCGCGGCGACAGTCTGCAGGCTTTGAACTTTCAAGGTCTTTGCTTTTTTTTGTGTCTTTAGCGGACACAGCTTTGCAGCACGTTGCACCTACTTTGAGTTTTTCTTCTTTCTTCCCCTCTTTTTCCTTTCCTCTGCCCTCTTTTTTTTTTCCCTTCGAGAACATTTTGAATCACTACCACCCAACTTGAAGCGAGGACTGCACTCCTCTGCTTTATAGTTTTTTCTTTTCAGGGGACATGTGCCACCACCAGGGCATCTGCCACCACCAAGAGATCACATCACTATTAACTTCCTTAAAACTAACATGCCAAGGATGACAAGGTGCCTTTGACAAAGATAGGTCCTCCTATCAAAACGTCGGCCAGCCTGTCTGAGGCACTTCCACTTCACCTCTGACTATCCCACTATGATTAACAAGTGAAAGTCTAAGGCCTTTCAAGGCAATTTCATTAGATGGATCATGCCATAAAAAATGGGCACGCTTGCACGGATCGGAAGTCACGTGGTAATCAAATATTCTAAAATTTTGTAGCCGATACATAAAATTTCGCTACAGTGAAATTCCACGACAAACTTCTTTTTTTTTTTTTTCTGCCATTTTCACTGAAACACTATTTGACTGTATGCCTGAATCGGTATGGCACAACATGGCTGTATGGTGGGCGTAAATGACTGTTTGTACCATGAAATCATGATATACATGGGGCATATGGTATGATTTATGCGCCACAGTCTTGGTGTGCTCGTAACAGTTTCATTAACTCTGTATATTACGAAAATCTGTATAGCATGACATGGTAAAGGCTGACATAAATGGTGGGTCGGGAATTCATATATGCATACCAGAATGTATGTTTCATTAGCATGCTATATGTCTAATTATGCATGGCAAGTCAGTGATATGTGAGGACTCTTGATTTATCTCAAAAGCCAGACAGTTCAATAGTGTATGCAGCAGATCTTGGCTGATTGCTGTGCATTATCCCAGTTCGTTGAGTGGTGTGAATGTGTTTCAGCTACCTGCAAAGGCCCTGTGGGGAGTTGATACGGAGGATCAAGCTGTACAGCGACTCCCTGGCCCGGTATGGCAAGTCCCCTTACCTCTACCCGCTTTACGGCCTGGGGGAGCTGCCGCAAGGCTTTGCCAGGTAAGCAGTGACTTTTATTTGCACAAAGGTGGCTGTTTGTGGGAAGGGATTTTTTGGCAACAGTCCGCCGCTTCACTCTAATGTAATGTTGAATTCCAATGGCGGAGTCGGAGCAAGTTTTTCTGCTCCTTTAAGAGCAAGTGTGTTCCAATGACAGAGTGAGAGCGAGAGTCAAAAGTTCCAATGAGAGAGCCGGAGGGGATTCAGAGCGGGAGTCCCTCCGTGGAGCAGAAAAAACTGCTCCGCCGAAATCGGTGGAGTGGACCGGAACTCAGCGTGACGCATTTCCTTTAACACGTTTGTCTGCTTGGGGGCGCGTCTGGCGTGGCGCGAGTTGTGTTGATAATGGTGGACAGCTCGGCTACCTCGGCAAAGCGTGCGGCAATGCTTCTGCTACTCGATAGCGACAGCAGACGTCGTGGACAATAGCTGTTGCACGCTTGGCGTGATATCCATTCCACACAGGTGATTAGCGCTGAACAAGCAAACGAACGATGCGGCGATGCTGGTAAACCACATGGGAAACAGACAGCGGAAAAGACCACGCGCAAGGTATCCTGGGTGATGCGGCAGCTTCCGCCTTGCTCCAGCAGGGCGGGTTGTGTTCCGATGGCGGATTTGGAGGATTTGCTCTACGCCAGAGTCGAGTGCTCGCTTGCGAAGTCGGTCGGCTGCACCGACTCCGCCATTGGAATTCAACATAAGATTCAAGCCACAGCAGACAGTCTTTCGGCAATTAATGGCAAAGTATTCTCTACTTCTCGGGATACAGGTACAATTATAAAAAGACTAGCAGCAGGGAGGTATCCTCGTCTTTTGTATCAGGTGCCTCTTTTAAGCTAGGTAGTCTCTTATATAACCACGTATGCAGTAAGCATTTTCCTACCAACTTCTATGTAGGTAGTCTCTTATATAGCCACGCATGCAGTATGCATTTTCCTACCAACTTCTATGTCAATGAAGGTGACATTCATAAAGGGGTTCGACTTGTACCTAGCAATGACCCTCAGTGCGTTGCTGGTTGAAAGCGGGGTATCTGTTTTGGCCCCGTCCACTTTTATGGGATCCGCTGCGGTGCCCAGGTGCTGGCCCGAAGGTCTCTGGTTCGATCCTGGCCGCAGCGATTGCAAATCAGGGGCAGTAAAATGCTGGAGGCCTGTGTACTGTGTGTGATGTCGGTGCATGTTGAAGAACCGTAGGTGGTCAAAGCCTCCTATACGGTGTGCCTCATTATTATATCGGCTTGTTAAGACACGGAATTTTCCCCTTATCATGGTTTTGCATAGGCCGTGCGTAGGAAATGTACTGGTAAGAGTGAGTGCGCCCTGAAAAATTAATTACGGCGTGTTTTTAAAAGCTAGTTTCGGTTCCTACTGTACCCTGACACTACGACATGTTATGAGCAGCTCCACTAGGTGGTAGTATGTGCACACTCGAGTTTTCGTGACGTATATGCTCGTCCGTACATCAACTCTTCGATCGTTTGCTTCGTCTGCTTTGCACGCCACATGTGTGGCATCTGTTGGGGCGAGGGAGGGACGGGGGGGGGGGGGGGCACAACATTGATATGGCATCACATTTAAGACAAGATGAAGTTGGTCAGCAATTGTAGGTTGTGCGTGTATGTGTCCGGAGTTAAGGGGGGATGTGGGTCCTAAAAACTTTCTTTACTTTTGGCTCAATCTCAACGAAACTTCACTATCTAAGGTAGTTTTTCACACTTATTTCAAATCTATGATTTGTTTCATAATAGCTCTATTGGTTCAGGTAATATTAAGGTTTGAATTTTAATTAATTGCCTATCTTTTACGGGGCTTTTTGGCAATTTACTTTTAGAAAAATGAACAAGCAAATGCATAACTCCAATGCTGAAGACTTGCTGTAGGGGTGATACTATTTTTTTCCATTTGAAGGCATTTTATAAGCATGAAAATGGACAAACACTTATGAATATTTTACCCTGATTTCCTCTCATAATTATCTTTAATTGTAATTTGTAAAGTGTCTCAAGAGAAATGAAAACAGCATCACCCCAGGGATCATTTCAAGATGAACAAAATGATACCAACTTTGTTAGTTTCACTAAAATATAACATGGGAAAAACCCTCGTAAGGCTGAGTGAAATGTGCAAAAACAACGAACTGAGAAAAATGCTTTCGAAGTTTCCAGCAACTGTAACTTTTGCTAAAGTGAAGCTATGGCAATATAAATCACACCGTTTTGTAGCTCTATGTTATACGATAATGACCATGCTAAATTTATGACTGTAGCCTCCCAAAATATTGGTCACAGCTTGTTCCAAAACTATGACATTGTCATTGATGCAGCAGGAGATTTTTTTTTTTTTTTACATTTTGGTCAGTACAGTGAGTTGTAAGTGAAAGGAATGCCCAAAAATTGAACAATAATGTTGTCCTTGCATATACAGTACACCTACACAATGTTCAGGCTGAAAACACACAATATTTATTTTACAAGAAATTGTCACCGTTTGCATGAGGACCATGCTACAGCATACCGGGGCTATAAGCAAGGTCCCCTGCTGGCTTGTGACGCCGTGCAAGCCTCGTCTTGGTTGTGTTGCTGCCGAGATGCTTTCTCTGGGATTTTTGCAGCCTGTTTTTGTCTTTTTCGCGGCCGCGAAGAACCAGGTTGTAGCCCATGTTGTAGCCTAGCTTCTTGGCAATTTCTACGTAGCTCTTCGTTATGCCTTGGTTGAAGCGGCTTATGGCTTCTGCAACAGCCCTCTCAATGCTCCGCAAGGATGCATGCGGGGTTTTAGGGGGCTGCTGCCAAATCACAGAGTGCAGGCTTTCACTTGAGTTCTGAGTGATCCTATCACTGCACCTTTCCAGGAGCGCTTTGTCGCTCAGCTGCCTGAACACGGGCTGTAGTGCCTCGCTCACAAAATCAGACAAGCTGTCTTTGTGTGGTGGGGGCTTCTAATTCTTCGCCACAGCTCTCTGGTACTTGCACCACGAGTCTGGGCCTTCAGGAAAGAGGTCATGCTTTGGTGCTTTGTCTGTAGATGACATGTGCTGCAGAGTCGCAAGCACAGCTTTCTGCATGCCTGGAACGTTGTTCCTGTGACTTATCAAGGCATAGCCATAGTAAGAGGTGATCTTGATTTTGTGTTTCGTGAGCCTGCCCTTACCGCCTAGCGAGCCACCTTGAGCTTTTTTTTCTTTTTTTTTCACAAGTGTATGTAAAGCAGCTCCCATACGCTTGTGCACATGATTGATGCAGTCTTTTTTGGCTACCTTGATATAACCGTAGACTTCATTTTCGGTAAGAGCATGAAATGTTTTGCTGTCACCGTCCGACAGCATGGTTGTACTATACTGAAGCTTGTGCTTTTCAAGTGACCGCACAAACAAGCGTAGCGCTGCCTCCACTTCCATCTGGCCAGCGTTGCAGTCAACATTCTTCTGGCACAGCGGGGGCGTGCTGGATGAGCCATGCAGAATGTCCTGCCTCTCTTTCCTTGGGTCCTTTGGTGCAAGCGAGGCAAAAGTTCGACAGTACGATATGGTCTATAACTCTAGTAGACCACTGTACATTTCAATAATGCAGCTAATGCATATATGTGACTTATGTCCGCGTGTGAGCAAAGTGCCATCATATATAACGTCGATGTTGCCAGGCGCGTTGCCGAACTCTGCATAGAGCTCTTTGACGTGAGCAATGCTCGCTACTTTGCACTCGGCAGCTGTCGCACTGCAGGCTTCCTTCATTAACGCCATGTGGCTTTGATAGGTCTTGTGGGGGAGCCCTCGATGCAAAATGTTCATCACGGCAAAGAAGTCTGACAGAGCCGTTGCCCTCTTGCCGATGCTATTGATGGCCTTCATGGCACGCAAATTCACTTCGAATGGCCTTATTTTGGCGTCGGTCTCGTCGGCTACATGGGGGGACGAAAACCGCTCTTCACGAAAATCGCAACTGCTGCATGTGACGAGCTTCGAACACAGCCCGTACTCTTTCTTGCCCTTCGAAAACATCACGCTTTTTTCACCGCACTTGAGGCAGACGACAAGCCGAAATGACGAGTTTATCATTGCCAGGTCAACAATGCCAAATTTTGTCCAGTTTCCTTTTCCGTCATCCACCAGATCAACATCTAGCCGCTTGAACTTGCGTTCTGTCGCGCACTGCGATTCGAGAGATGCCTTCAAGCTCGCCGCATTCCTGGCGCACTGAGCAGACTTGTCCACGGAATAAAATGCCGTGTCAATGCGGTCTTGGGTGTTGCTCGAAGTGCCAGATGATCCGACGATGTAACAATCCGAGAAGGTGCTGCAGCTGAGCCCTGGGGAGTGCACCGTTTTGGACGCAACAGGTGCCCGCAGCTGCGTGCCATCGTCAGAATGCACCGCTTCGACCTCATCGGGCAAACTTGGCAGCAAGTTGCGGTCTTCGATGTTGCTGGAAGTGCCAGATGGTCCGACGACGTAACTATCCGAGGAGGTTCTGCAGCTAAGCCCTGGAGAGTGCACCGTTTTAGACACAACACGTGCCCGCGGCTGCACGCAATCGTCGGACTGCACCGCTTCGGCCGCACAATGTCCGCTTTCTTCTGCGGCGCGTTCCACGGACGTCTTCATTTCTTGCCGTACGCTTGGGGCGTCTTCTTCTTTAGGCGAGTGTCTCCAGTCATGCCAGCAAAAGACGGAAAGTCGGTGTGTCGGTCGCAGTAGCACAAGCAGGAAGCAGACGAACAACGCGCGCGGAACTGGGAGCCGGTGGCCGACAAGCAAATTACAGAAAAAAAAAGCGCGAGCAACCTTGGCTACATCAACCAATGGAAAGCGAGAAACAGGGGGCTCGTCTGGCGTGCGCACTCCGTCAAATAAGTGGTTGGGAAGGGAGCTTCAGAAAAAAAGGCGAGGGAAGCCATGCCATTGAAGAGGCGCCATTTTGAAGGGCGGCAAAATGTGCACAACTGAAATCAGCTTCAAAACAGGCTCAAGGTGGCAGCGATTGGCCAGCTCCTTCGCTG